AAGATCTTGAATAAAATTGGTTATCCCCTATAACACTGTTCATATGTTAATTCAGGTTGAATCTTTGAAAGAATAGTTTTCAAGTTGGGTCTACAAGCACACTCTAAAATTTGATTTCCAGAATCCCCTGAAGTCTATCTATCTAGGCTCTTTGATGTAGAGATCCTGAGTCTGTATTTTAACTCATCACCTCAGTTAAATCCGATCATTCCACTATTATAAGAGAGAAATACCCAGGCAAGAAACACTGAAAAAAAAAAAGGGAATGGAGAGATTGTACAGTGGGTAGGGTGCTTGTGTTGCATAAGGCCAACCTGGCATCCTATTTGGTCCCCCCAGTCCGCCAAGAGTGATTCCTGAGCACAGAGCCAGGAGTGAGTCCTTGCACACTGCCAGGTGGGCCCTCCCCTCCCCACAAAAAAAAGAAACATTGAAAAAACTGTGGACAGGGCTCCTGCTGAGGAGTTGTTCCCAGTGAGTGGTGCTGAGGATCAATCCTTGGCCTCTAATACACAAGGCACAGCACTAGCTCTGTGAGTTCGCTCCCTGGCTCCTAAGTAAAGTCATAAATACTCAGCGACAAAGAAATCATTTTACCTGTCTAAATAGGAATCTTTTGCCTGGAACTCAACTCAGAAGGGAGGGAGCTCTGTTCTACATACACATCATGTTCTGACCATCCTTTTTCTCCCTTCTCTCAGTTCTGGACCCATCTCTCACCTTCAAGAGTCACGCCCTTTGCTTTCCATTACCAAACCTAGGCGGTCTGAGTTCATTACCTCTTCACCCAGGAAACCATTCTCTCCTTAGCTACCACCTTGCTTGCCTCATAGCATAAGATGAAGCATTTATATAATGCCTGCACAACACATGAGAACTTATGAAGCATTTTAAGTACAATCTATCTCAACCGATTTTTCAAAACATCCTGAGCAGTCTATCCTCTTAGATTTCTGATTAGGTGCCTTCAGCTGAGATCTCAAGTAACCTGTATTTGTAAGTGACACCCTATAACCTCCTGTTAGGTGATCTGACGCAAACCAGGTATTTAGTTTGTCATATCTGATCTCGGTCTAATAAACAAAACTGTTTTCCTAACGAATACTGATACCCAACCCCCTGGGTTACTGTATCTTCTGGCTTCTTCTCACTCATTAGCCAAACATCTCCTAACCATTTGCTTGACAGAATTTAACTTGATCCTGCTTTCCTCATCTTGTTACTGATTCTTACCACTTGGGACACATCCTCCTTCAACTCTTAATTTTCTCTTAGTTATTAGTTCTTTTGTTTTTTTTTTCCTGTGGCAATTCTGTTGCTTCAATAACTTCAAAATGACAAAGGATAATTGCTAAAGGTAAAATCACAACTCTATTGAAAAGAAAAATCTTTCTACCCCTTAGGGTTACTTAGATGTATTCACTCAATTATCCTACCCTTACCTACACAGTAACCGACCAAAATCATTTATGACCCAAACCATAAGTAAATTTTGAAAAGATTACTAAGTAGGTGGGGTGAGGAGAAGGTGGGAACCTGGGTCATTGGTAGAGGGACTCAGGACAGTCATGGTGGGTTTGGAGTTGGATCATTCAATAATTAAAACTTGCTATCAACAACTTTGTAATTCAAGGTTTTTAATTAAAAAAGATAACATAAATAATACAGGTGGATGAGAAAAAGTTGATGACAAGTAATTATTTGTATTTGATTCTATATTCCATTGTTAAAAGTGTTTAAAACTTTAATACTTTTTCAGAAATCACAGCAGGCAATTTTTGGCCTATATTAACTCATATTTTTTTACTTAATCACCTTGAGACATATGGTTACAAAGTTGTCCATGCCTGGGTTTCAGTCATACAAGTTCCAACACCAGTCCCTTCACCAGTGTACATTTCCCACCAGCAATGTCCCCTGTTTTCCTCCCACCACCCCCCACCCTGTCTCTCCTTCTCCCTCTCCCATTCTCTCCTTCTCCCGTCCCTTCTTCAACTTCTCTCTCCTTTCTCCCTCTTTCCTTCTCTCCTTCTTTTGAGCATTATGGACAATAAGCAACTATCTTCACCCCAGTTAGAACTTCCCTTTCTTGACCAAACATGATGGTCTCTCAGTATCTGTATTGCAAACCATAATGCCCAAAAGTAGAGAGAGAGTAAGAAGGAAATTGTCTGCCATAGAGGCAGAGGGTGGAGGGTGAATGGAGGGAGGGGGGAGATACTGGGACATTGGTGGTAGAAAATGTACACTGGTGGAGGGATCACTTAATCACTTAATCACTTAATCCCCGTTATTCATCGATTTATTCGAGCGGGTGCCAGTAACGTCTCCATTCATCCCGGTTGCGTGCTAGCGTAGCCCAATGGTATCTGTTTGTTCTAGGAACATGCAGAGCCTCAAACCGATCATTTAGGGTCTTGACGAAGAAGTCTGACCATCTTATAGGTGGGCATCCACGTGATCTTTTGATGTCCCGTGGAATCCAATCAGTAATGGCTCTAGTCCAGCGGTTGTCTGTAAACCTCATTACGTGTCCAGCCCATCTGATTTTTGATGTCTTGGCAAATGAGACAGCGTCCCTGATTCTTGAGCGTTGACGAAGATCAGAACTCCGGATTCTGTCTCTCATTTGAGTGAATCGAGATATTCCAAGCATAGTTCTTTCGATTCCTCTTTGTAAATTAATTACTAATTTACAAAGTAAATTAGTAAATCAGCTAATAGGTGGAGGGATGGGTGTTCAATAATTGTATGACTGAAACTCAAACATGAAAGCTTTGTAACTTTATCTCATGGTGAGTCAATAAAAAAATTAAAAATAAATAAAAACAAAAACATAATTTTGCTTCTCAAAAACAAAACAAAAACACACACTTCCATTTCTTAGCTACACCCAATGGTACTCTGGGATTACTCCTGGCTTTGTACTCAGGGTTCACTCCTGGCAGGACTTGAGTGTATCCCCGAGCATATGTGGTGTTGAACTGAACCAGGCATGACAAGTGAGTGCATGAACCCCTGGACTATGTCTGGTCCATGATATATTTGCGTGGGGAGCCTCCCAAGAAGTGCTTAAAGGGAACTAAGTACAGGGGAACACTTCCAGCATACTGGGCCCAGCTATCTGGACTGGACGGTCCAATACCCAGGCACAGTTGTGCTGTTCAGAGCCAGCAGTGTTGTGGATCACCAGATGCTCGGGGGACCTTGAGGTGCTACGCACCAAACCTGGGGTCTTAGGCATGCACTCAAGCCTTTGAGGCTATTTCCCCAGCAACTTACTTTGTAATATAGGGCTCCCTAAACAGAAGTGACCCAAGGGCAACAGCCAGGTGTGCTCAGGGCATACTCTTGACTCTGTGCTTAGGGATCACTCCCATTGCAGACCGGGGGACTATATGAGGTGCCAGGATCGAATCCAGGCCATGTGTGTGCAAAGCAAGTTCTCTACCCACCATACTATTGCTCTGGCCCTGACTGAAATGTTTTAAGACAAAGTACACTGAAAGTAACCAAAATATTTTACATTTCACTCAATATATAAAAAAGGAAACCCATAATTTAAAGACATTATCTACATATGTTTAGGAAAAAATACTTTTAGTGCCAACTCAAATAAACCAAGAATCAGAAACAAAATCATTTCATGTAGAAATGGATAGTAACCCAAATGCAGATTGTGGATAAAATAAAATGGAAATTTTCTTATTTTATTTACTTATTTTGGTATTTGGCCACCACTGGCAGTGCTTAGAGAATACACCTGGCTGTGTGCTCAGGAATCACTCCTGACAGGAATCACTTCTGACAGAAATCACCCTGACAGAACTCAGGGGACCAGAGGCAGTGCCAACGATTGAACCGAAGTTGGCCGTGAGCAAGATATGTGCCTTAACCTGTGAACTATCTCTCCAGTCCAGAATGAAAAGTGTTCTGCACTCAAAAAGGAGTAGAGAAAAATGCTATTAAGTACAGGTTTTTTTAAAGTTGCCAAATTCTACTCATTTACTAAGAAAAGCAATTCTAAGAAAAGTTTATAATATTCCCTGCATATGCAAATACAGTAACTGAAAAATCTCAGGATTTGGACAAATTCATTTTTTAAACAACATTAATTAAACCAATTATTAAATAAACTGACCTAGTTCCTCTAAAGGTAACATCCACACTTTCTGAAGATGAGGACATGCATGATACCTTTTTGATTGGGATGGTAGCATATCACCAGAGACTCCTTGACAGAATTTATTATTGAGTAAATCCTGGTGTTAAACTGAATGCCTATAGTTGCTTAATTTCTCTGTCATTTTAAAATCAGATTTTCCCAAAAAATGCCACATATGGAGGCTGGTATGGAGAAATAGCACAGGGGACAGAGCATCTGCCTTGCACATAGCCAACCAAGGTTCAATTCCTAGCATCACAAATGGTCCCTGGGTGCTGTCAGGAGTGATGCTTGAGCAAAGAGCCAGAAGTAACCCCTGTGCACGGTTGGGTGTGCCCCTTTGCCCCCTCAAAGCCATAAACAATTATTTTCAGTTGTACCATTTAATCTCAAATTAGCTATGACAGGCACATGCTGTTTTTAATCATACCAACATGTTATATATTTTAAATAACATTTGCTTTTAACCATTTTGCTTTTGACATTTAATTTGCTTCATTCCATTTTCTAGTTTCGTTTTGTTTAAATTTGGGGGTCACATCCAGTGGTCATCAGGGCTTACCCATGACTTTGCACTCAGGGATCACTCCTGGCAGGCGCGAGGGGACTATATGGGTCCCAGGGATCGAACGCAGGTCAGCCTCATGCAAGGCAAGAGCACTACACACTAAGCTGTCTTTCCAGCCCCTCTGATTTTAGTTTTTAAGATAGGAATATTTTATTTATTTTAGAATTTGAGGACATAGAGGAAGAATATTTTAGAGAACAGATGACATATTTGACTTTAATCACATCTGCTCAGACCTGAGCACAAAAATGTAGACCCCAAACTCACCAGCGGTTCTCTGTTTTTGACCAGGCGGATGATTTTCACTGAGTCTTCCTCCTCATCAATATCATCGGGCATAGGAGGCAACACTGGACCGTAATTCTTCTGAGCCACAGAATCATGTACAGAAAGTAAAGCCTATCAAAGCCAAAGGGGGGGGGATAAAGAGAGTTATGCAAATGAAACAGCAACCCCAAACTATCACAATTAAAATGTTACAATTCTGACGTTACTATTACTGAATCCAAGTTCCAGCTACTCAAGACTCCAAAGACCAACACTTGAGAGGCAAAGGTTGGTGGGTTTAATAAAACTTAAGGGTTTATTTGGGTACAAGCAAACTGAAGAAGAAGGCTTATCCCCAAACCATATTATTCTACAGGCTCGAGCTTGGAATTATGCAGGGTTGGTGAAGAATTGGGCAAAAACATAAAGGGTATGGGGCCAGAGAGATAGTATAATGCACTTGCCTTAAAGGGGGAAGAGGGCTGGATTCAATCCCCAGCATCCCATATGGTCCCCCAAGCACCACCAGGAGAATTCCTGAGTGCTGAACCAGGAGCAAGCCCTGAGCATTGCTGGGTGTAACGCCAAAACAAACTTTTTTTTAATACACAGGGTGGTGGGCTGGTGGAGTTCAAGAGATCCAGGCATGCATTCGTGCTACTGGCATCACTGCTTGGATAAAAACTTTGGGACATGCTAACCTGTTCTGTGTAAAATGTCACATTTCTGTACCATGTGACCTTCAGTTGTCAGAATAAGCCGACTGGAGATGGGAGGTTATTATCTGTTCTAGGTTGTGGTTGGCTCCTGGTTTTTAACACTAAACACAGGGGTTACAGAAATATTTCTCAAATCTGAGGGGAAACGTAGATGTGGTTAAAAAAAATAGGTGTTCAAAATTCAAAGAACAAAATGGAGTTTCTAGTGCTTGCTCACTAACAATTCCCTACTGCCAGTCCTTCCCATCACTGGACATTAGAATGCTAAGTCAAATCTGCCTGCTTCAAGTTGACAGAGAAAGATGCTGGAATGTCAAATAAAAGAGAATGACATGGTGGGAAAGATGACTTTCATGCCTTTGTATGGGTCACTAAGCACATGAGTAAATGGTTTATCTTGGGATTTTTCTATAATTTATTATAATTTTTCTATTATTATTATTATTATTTTTAATCCTTTGCATGAAATACAGTACAGAATTCACTAGAACCCTCGGTGAATCAGGAGGGCTCTTAATATGATAGGTTAGGTTCCATTTTAATATTCTTTCCATTGTAGATTGGATTCAAGCTCATATCCAAGAAGGTAGGTCTGTAAATCAGTCCCATCCCCTGGCAGATGATGGCAGATGTTTCCGCTAGCCAGCTGCTACCAAATGCTTGACAGTCATGTGCAAAGCATATGTTTTTAAAGTCCATTTCATAACTTTTCCTTTCCTTCTGGTAACAACATTACAAAACTGGTTTAATACAAGTGACTCACTTTCATTCTTCAGTTTTTAAGTGTTTGGAAATTTTTGGTTAGGGAAGGGGGTCACACCCAGCAGTGCTCAGGGATCACTCCTGGCTCTGTGCTCGGGGATCTCTACTGAGCAGGCTCTTAAGACTGTATTAGGTGGTGGGATCACACCCGGATTTGGCCATGTGCAAAGCAAATGCGTTACTGCTTTACTCTCTCTCTGGCCCATGTCTCGGTGATGTTAACAAGTTATGCGTATGAAGTAATAAAAGTGTTCCTTGTCATGACTGATAGGATGTTAAAACTCTACAAAGCACTGTTATTCTCCTTAGTGACTAAAGATGACAACACTGGAAGGCAACAGGCTAAAGACTTTCAACAAACTTATTCTGTAATCAGCGAGATCACAACCCATAAATTACTTGAACCTAGAGATAAACATTAAAATCTCTCTTCTCTCCTGTACTCTTCACACCCTCTTCCTATCCTGTTAAGTGTACTTCCAAAACACAGCCTAAAATTAGTTATACTCTTTCTGATCTAGATGACAGGTTGAAAAATGACACCATCTGTTTTTGTTAGTAAAATTGTCTTTTAGCATTCTACATATGTCTACTTATTTATCATTGGATTAAAATCCCACAGAATTTATGGGTTACAGTATTATACATCTATATGTAAGACTTACTACACCCATCCCCCAGATTCTAATGCCATTCCACCCCCCCAAAAAAAACTCCTCTGCCCATTTTTGAATGAAGTGTTACTGCAACATAGTCATGCTCATTCATTTATGTATTAGCTAGGCCTGGGTTTCTTAAATTTTTCCACTTGCAGTAACTTTTCACCTGAGACTTTTTTTTTTGCATTGCTGAGCAGAGAGTTATTTTAAAAAAATACACAAATTAAACATTGTCTTAAATCATTTGTAAAAAAAATTACTTTGAGGGGGTATGGTGCCACCAACAGATCAACCTGTACCTGTGGGGCCTGATGGTGTCTTCAGGCTTCCTGATACCCCCAAATTGCCACTGTGCCTTAGGCCAGACCCCAACAAATTGGGACCAAGTTTATCAACACATTAAATGGCCAAAAGTTAGTTATGTGGGAGTCATGCCCACAAGTGCATTTACTGGCCTTATTTCAGAGACCCATAGATAAATCTCAAAAGACACCAAAAGCCACAGTTAATCTTGGACCCGGGAATTGCTGACCAGACTGGGATAAACCGGAGGAAGGCAAGTTGACCTGTACCTGCCCAAGCAGAGCCCCCAGCAGCCGCTTGTTTCTACAATCCAAAATCGCCGCCATACCCCCTGCTTGTCTCCAACGTCTCAGGAAGGACCTCACCAAGATACAGTCTGCTGAAACTTTGGGTATGTGAGTTTTGTGACTGAAATCTCCAGGCTTTCACAGAGTTGAGGTGGGCTACCTCCCCCCTCCCCACACACACACACACACAAACACTTCCCAATACACATGGAAGCACTGGCAGTCACCCCCATGAACCAACTCCAGTGCCACTTGTAAACTCTATTACTGGCCTTGCTTCAGGGACCCATAAATAAATCTCAAAAGAGATCAAAAGCCAGAGACACAGCAGTGAGTCTCGAAAGACACCGGGATCAAAAGGGCCAGAGATCTCTCCAGGCCTCATATAGAGCCAATTTCACCAGACCATCCCAGATGGAGCAGGTGCAGTCTTCCCCCCCTACTCCAGAAGGAATTCCGGCGACTAAGAGCCGCAACAAGGCCCAGGTATGTAGGTTCCAGGACTAAATCTCCATGCCACACAGTGGCAGAGGCACCAGCCTGTTCCTCCCCAGCTCCCCATCTGCTCATCAGCCTGGCTGTCACACCTACAATGTACCTCCTGACACCATCTTAGCTCACCAACAGCCCTAGTCCAGAGGCACCCAGTTGAATCTCAAAATGGATTAGTGCCCTACAGAAATGTCTCCATAAACCAGCCATTTACAATCTAGGATTCCAGAAGCTTGTGGCAGCAGCACTCATGATATTCAGGATGAGCAAGGGACAATAAATGATCTAGTACCTTCCCCTGCAGGCAGGCTTGACTGGTAGTGGGAAAATTCGAGCAAAACATAATGCCCAAAAGCAGAGAGAGTATTGGGGAAATTGTCTGCCATGGAGGCAGGGTGAGAACTAGGACGGCGGGGGCGGGGGGGAGGGGAGGGGGATATATACTGGAGACACTGGTGGTGGAAAGTGTGCATTGGTGGAGGGATGCGTGTTAGATCATTGTACTGCTGAATCTCGAACATGAGAACTTTGTAACTGTGTCAAAAAAAAAAGTAAAAAAAAAATTACTTTGAAACAACCTCCATATTCAGTAACATGGCTTCATATGAGGTTGCAGCTGACAATTTAAGAAGCTAGGGTCTGAGAGTTGGAGAGATAGGACAACAGATAAAGAGTTTGCCTTGCATGTGGCTGATCTGGATTCCATAACTCAATACCCAGCACTCTCTACGGTCTCCTAAGCATTGTCAGTTATGGCTCAGAAAACACACAATGTTAGTCAGGACCATAGAGATAGCTCATGGGTTATGTCTCAGAGCATATTTGCATGCAGGAGGCCTGGGTGAGACACCCGGCACCACATGGTCCCATGAATAGTGCTTAGAGAAATAGCCTAGTTAAGAGCCAAGAGCAGCCCCAGATCATTGCCAGATGTGTTCCATCACCCCTTCTCCCCCTGCATAAAAAGGCTCATGTCTAGACTGCTGTAATGCTAACATACCAGATCAGAGTAGAAGCAACAGATACATTTTTTTTTTTACATAAAAAGTCTTCTCCTCCCTTAACAAAAGGGAATGCCCTGCCACAGAGGTAGGGTGGAATGGGGGGTATGGGGGGTGGAGGGATACTGGCATCAGTGGTGATGGAGAATGGGCACTGGTGGAGGGATGGGTATTCGATCATTGTATAACTGAAACCCAAGCACAAAAATTTGTAAGTCTACAACTGTACCTCATGATGTTTCACTAATAAAAATTTAAGGGAAAAAAAAGTCTTCTCCTCCTTGATTTAGAGGAATTATTTATAATATACTGAAATAAACTTTGTGCTACATATATATCCTTTTCATAGTAGCCTACCCTTTCACATTCTTATTAGTTCTTTATCAACACAGTATTATAATCTAAATAAACACAATTAATGTTTTCCTAGATGGTTGATACTTTTCTGTAGCCAAGAAGAGCCTCAAAGCATAGGAATGAAGAGCACCAGGGGGGTGAAATATTTGAAGAGATAACAAGATTTTTGAGAACTGATAAACAACCTGAAGATTCAGGAAGTCCAATTAGAAAGCAGTGAAACAGGAAATACTGAAGTTTAGATATGTCAGTCTAGAAATATCAACGAAACTATGGAAGACAAAGTCAGAGCAAAGGTACTAAAAATATCAGACGTAAAAAAATCATCAGAAAGAAATGAAAACGAGTTGACTGGGTAGCAGCAATGAAAACTAGAAGACAGTTGAAATATTTGAACTTGCGTAGAAAAACAGCAGCCAGTTGAGTGTTATATACCCTACAAAAGAGGCTGAGGGGCTGGGGGTACAGCTGAGAGGCACACCACTAGCCTTGTATATACGTAAAGTCCTGAGTTTAATTCCAGGCACCACCAGCCTAGACGTATTTCAGAAA